AATGTTTTACTTTTAAATATTCAACTTTAAATTTATATTCATTACTTTAATCTACAAACATTTCTAACAAGTAACACTACCCAAGTGCCAATCGGCGATTGACTTGAGTTTGTGAGCATTTTTTAGAGGACCTGAAAATATTTGACACGTATTTTTTTATATCGGCAATGAAGAGGTTTTAAGGGTTGAAAATAGGGGTTGAAAAGTAATATTTTGAGTGGCAAAATATGCATATCATGGTAGAAAGTTTAATTTAAAGAAACTTTAATTAAAATATTAATTTATTTATTTAAGAAATGTTTGACACATTTCAAGGGTAGAAATTACCCTTATAAACCTTTTTGAATGGGGTGAGTTAATCCTTTAAACCCCAACGGTTTCGATTAAAACTACTTTTGCATTTAAACATTCATAATTTTGTCAAAAATTAATAAATATTTGTTTACTAAACACAAATGTCCTACAACCCTACTAAAAATAAAATCACAAAACGACAGAAATTTAGTCAGAATCTCTGACGTTTTTAGGCTGCATTTGTTACGATTGCAGCTACAGAACGTCAGGCTTGAGTCATGTTTAATCAGAAAGCTTCAAAAGTAGTCAGGTTTTTTATACAAAGTCGACACCCTTTTTTACCTGGAAAAAGGTCAACTGACCGTCATAAAATTGAAGGGAAATCTTTTTATTTGTTTATATTCATATTTATTTAAACATTATACTTGTTTTTCATCGACTTAGAATTCATCTAACAATATGCTCTTATTATGCATGCAGTATATCCTTTAGAACTTAAATTCAAAAATGATATCCTTTTTTATTTACACGGAAAGAAAAAGTCCGTCAATCATTAATAGACTAGTATATTACTTTGAGACGGGACACAAAATCATTGAATGCATAACATACTTTGAGTCACAATCAGTGACGAGTTGCTTGCTAAAATTTAGAAAACTGTCATCAATATATAAAACTCGTTCACTAAAATTTAGAAAACTGTCTATTAAATTTTCTATGACTATCAAAAGCATTCAAAAAATTCAACTTCTTTCAGAATTATCCCTAATTTTAGACACTATTTGGTACAGAATGAACACATTTTTTTCGTTGCACAGTTCCGATATTTTATTTACACTCTTAGACGCTTTAGACCAACACATTTTCGCACTTATAATAACTACACGTAGAAACGCACACTTATAACATTTTAAGTTTAGAAGCGAACTGTTCTTATATACCAAATAACAAAATTTTTCACAACTTGTGAGAAATGATTTTGCACTAATAACTACTTTTTAATTAGCGAGAAATATAAAAGAAAATATATTTTTATCGAGGTCAATTTCTAGACGCAATTCAACTGCAAATTATTAGTTAAGTTAAATATTCACATTACACATAATAGTATATAGGGATATGTATAGCAGACAGCAAAAACACATGGACTATAGAGAAACCGGAAGAAATGCGCATCGGTACACTGCGCAACAATGCGCTAGTGAAGAGCGCCGATTTAGAATACGAGTCAACTAACGTTTCACAAACTTTCACTAATGATTCGTAAACATTCAAACAGCCATTGATAACAATTCAGCATTAAATCTAAAACAATTGGTCACATACTGGCATTCTAATCAATCCATGACTCGTTTTCAATCGTTAAGTAAAGTTAAGTAACCATCAACGAAAAAAGAGTCCCGTCTCAAAGTAATATACTAATCCATTAATGGTTGACGGACTTTTTCTTTCCGTGTAACAATTACGGTTTTCGAGATACGTTACAGTTTCCTTAAAAAAATGTTTTTTATAATAAATTTTAGATATTTGTAATTGTGGAGATTTCTAGATTTTGAATTTATATTCATTTTACTTGAAATTTTAAAATTGCAAAACTTTTGAGCAATAAAAATTAGGTTAGAGACCCGAACCTCGTAACAATAGACCCGCAATTCTATTGTGAAAAAAGGGCTACGCACAAATTTCAAGTTTTAACGGTACTTTACATTTACCGGCTATATTTCGGTGAGGGGCTGTAAATAAAAAAAAAGATTTCAATGCTCAATAATCACAATCCATAGACATCAGGATTTAACAGGAGAATAAAAAATCCTTTAGTCAGAATTAACCAAAAGCTTCAGGAATCGTCAAAGTAGTCACAAAACATCAAAATTTCTGACGTTCTCTCTTTATTTCTGATTTTATTTTTAGCAGGGAAATTTGATTTACTTTATGAAAATAATAGTACAATATGTTTATAACAATTTTATTATTATAACATTAAAAAAAATGTTTTTGATAAGACTTGCAAAGAAAATTATTATGAGCTCATAAAAATGAACACTCGGCGATTTTAGGGTCGCTGATTACGAATCTGTTGTCAACTTTTTCAAAATTCAAAATGGTGGATCCAATATGTCGGACAAAAAATTGGGAAGGGAGTGATTAACCCTTTAAGGCCATTTTAAAAAACTTGATAGATTCACTTAACCCATTAACGCCCAACTCGTGAAAATTCTTTGGTCATTTTCAAGCTACGTAATTATAAATAAAACGGTTGACAATTTTAGATGTGTTCTTTTCGATTCCGGTGTCAAAAATAAATTTCGTCCAAACCAAAATTAAATATGGCGGTTTTAATGTCAAAAAACAAAAAATTTCATTTTTTCAAGTTTCACATTTTTTTACCTCGAAAAATTGTAAGAATAAAATTCTATTTTCAACCATCGGTGCATAAAAATTATACACTTTCGAGAAAAGTAAAGTAGAATTAAAAATTTCAAGATGGCGGACCAATATGCAATGAATTCGCCTGAATTTTGTTACTCGGGGGTTTTCGGTATCGCTGATTACGAATATGAAATTCATTTTCATAATTTCAAAATGGCGGACAAGAAACTTCAAATTTCATTCTATTGGCTTAAATCTTGTAAGTCGGGGGTTTCTAATCAACGTACATAAAACCCCCGAGTAACAGGTTTCAAATGAATTTGATCAAGTTTAAAAAATTTGTCCGATACATTGAATTCGCCATTTCGAAGTTTTGGAAATACAGTTCATATTTGTAATCAGCGACCCCAAAAACCCCCAAGTTACAAGATTTAAGCCAATATAATGATATTTGAAGTTTCTTGTCCGCCATATTGAATCCGCCATTTTGAATTTTTGAATATTTGTAATCAGTGACACCAAAAACCCTTGAGTAGCAAATTTTAGGCGAATTCATTGACTTTTCAGGAATATGAAGAATATTGCCCAAAATTATTATTATTTTCATAAAGTAAATCAAATTTGTAGGACAATTGTGTTTAGTAAACAAATATTTATTAATTTTTGACAAAATTATGAATGTTTAAATGCAAAAGTAGTTTTAATCGAAACCGTTGGGGTTTAAAGGATTAACTCACCCCATTCAAAAAGGTTTATAAGGGTAATTTCTACCCTTGAAATGTGTCAAACATTTCACGGAGAGAAGAGTTGCAGTAAATGTGACAGAACGCGTTTAGTAAATCATTTAGTGCACCGGTTAGTGGCGCCAACTGTATGTTTAGTATAATACACTACGACACCTCTCTGTTTAGTAGAATATACTGTTTGCTTAGTGTATCTTACTATCTTACTAAACAGTGCAGTAGATGGCACTGTCTGTACCGTCAGTCCAAACCTAACGATTCTGTTTAGTAGATTTAACTGCCATGTCAGTAGAATCTACTACGCCCTTCTCTCCGTGTTCTTAAATAAATAAATTAATATTTTAATTAAAGTTTCTTTAAATTAAACTTTCTACCATGATATGCATATTTTGCCACTCAAAATATGACTTTTCAACCCCTATTTTCAACCCTTAAAACATCTTCATTGCCGATATAAAAAAAATACGTGTCAAATATTTTTAGGTCCTCTAAAAAATGCTCACAAACTCAAGTCAATCGCCGATTGGCACTTGGGTAGTGTTACTTGTAAGTAACAGATTTAGATTTTCACCAAGTATGACAAATATTTATTTGCGACAAGTTTACATAGAAAGTTTGCAATGGCAGTTTACTGCACAGCAAATATGTCTAGGAAATTAGTCGCAAGTTTAAATCGTAAGTTTTCTGCAAGTTTGCGAGGCAAACTGTCCTGAAATGGACATTTTTATTCAGTTGGTAAGTTTGCAACAAACTTGAATTTGCAAATTATTCATGTTTTAATTTCTTTGATTATCAGTACAATGTTTTTTTTTATTTTAAATTGCTTTTAATAGAATAAGACGCATTTCTATTTCTCTAAAGTAAATTTGTTAGAACTTCCATTAAACAGAATTTTATGTGGTAGAAATATCCCTTATCCGTATTTTTATTTATCATAGTTATTAAGTGTCTTACAGCGTAGATAATAAAAATATATAATAAAGGAATTAGAATTTAGACAAATTTGCAACAATATTAATTTGTAAATAGTAGAAGTTTTGTTTAAAAGAATTTTATATTTCAGAATTCTATTTTATTCGAAACTTCGATTTTGCGAATTTTTATTTACAAGTATTTTCATTTAAAAGAATTTTCAAAATACAAGATTTATCCGTAATCGAACTTTCATTATACGGAATTTACATGAGGGCAAATTTTAATTTTACGAAATTTTTTATTTGCTAAAATATTTATTAAACAGAATAGTCATTTAAACAATTTTTTAATTGACAGAAGAATCATTAGAATGAATTTTTTCTTAGTCGAATCTTTATTTCTCAAAATATTAATTGACATAAAATCGATTTGAGCAACTTTTCATATGACAGAAATTTCACATAACCGAAATTCATTTGGACAGAATTTCTGATTAGTAAAATTTTCGTTTGTCAGAATGTTCATATGCTAGAAATTTTATTTTATAGAATTTAAATATGACAGTATTGTTAAATTCTCGAATTTCTACTATACCGACATCTCAAACTAACGAAAGTTACAAAAACTTATCAGTTATTAACTATTATTTATTGATGAAATTGTGTTCTAATTGTTTAGACTGCCAGCGGAAATGTGGAAGCAAAAGTGATGTGCTTCTTTAGGCGGAGGGACTTACCATCCACTCTGATCATGCTTGCAGATAAGCATCAATGTAAGTAATACTTAAGTTATACCCTTATTGAATAGCATTTAAGTCTTGTAATTTTTCTCACCATTGTTAATATTTTATATTATATTATCTTTAAAGGAATAGCATTCATAAAAATTATTATATGCTAGAAATTTTTAAATTAAACATATAATTTTCATATAACTTTAAAGTTATAATTCATAAATAAATAGAAATTTATAAATATACTTGATATTTTTTATGGTGCACCACTGGAATATTAATGTACAATATAAATATAATGTATACTATTAATTTTAAGAAAGAACTAAATTTTCTAAACAACTTATTCCCTAATCGAATTCAAACACTGATTTGAACAATCTTACTTTCAGTTTGAGTTCCACTTTTAATTAAAAACGTTTGCATTAGAAACATTTTTGTCTGGATTTTTGTATTAAGAGAATGACTTTAAATCCTAAATTTGACTTAATCTGGATTCAAGCCTAAAAAGGATAATTTTTAATCTTAAATTTTTTTCCGTGAAAAGTGTCAAGAAATTATTATTTACAAAACATGTTAGGAATTGGTGTTTCGATTAAATTATTTTACTTGAATAATATTTGTCACGTGCTCCGGAAAAAGGAATCTATGAAGCGAAAAATATAGGTTATGCTTATAATTCTTTAAATGAAAATACATAAAGAAAATCAATTCTCAATTTAGACCACTAATGTTTAAGTCTACATTACATCTAAAATTAATAATGAAAACTGATTTTAGTGGATCATAGTTAAACAGAAACTTTAAATTAAGGTAAAAATACCAGAGCACGTCACATTTAGATTACTCAAAAAAATTGTGGTGAATTTCTTTACCCCCTTCAGTGTGTAGCTAAAATATAACAAAATGGTCCCAAAATGTGTAAGACCTTCTTGTGAATAAATATTCATGACACTAGGTACTAAGGGGTTTTTGGGGTCGCTGATTACGATTCCGGCGTTAGTTTTCAAAAATTCAAAATGGCGGACACGATTTTGAAAAATTCATTGGATTCGCTTAAAATTCGTTACTCGGGGGTTTTCGTGGTCGCTGATTACGAATATGACATTAGTTTTTTAGAATTCAAAATGGCGGATTCAAAATGGCAGACACGATTTTGAAAAATTCATTGGATTCGCTTAAAATTCGTTACTCGGGGGTTTTTGTGGTCGCTGATTACGAATATGACATCAGTTTTTTAAAATTCAAAATGTCAAATCCAAAATGGCGGACACGATTATTCATTGGATACGCTTAAAATTCGTTATTCGGGGGTTTTTGAGATCCCTGATTACGAATCTGTTATTAGTTTTTCAAAGTTTAAATGGTAAGAATTTTTAAAAGAATTTATCCACTTTTAAAATTTTTCAAAATTTTTGGCGGCCATTTTTGATGAAAAATTATTTATTTTGAAAATCTGACTTCAAAATCGTGATCAGCGACCCCAAAAACCCCCGAGTAAGAATTTTTGCGCATATACGTTAAGTTGTTTTCTTGTTTGGGCCATGACGTGTATACACGTCATCCACTATTTGCGACAGTTTTTTTCATGACGTGTATATGTCGTAGGCAACTAGAAGAATCCGGCATTAAGCTTAATTCCTAGGCAGTAAGCTTACTGCCTAGGCAAATAGAAAAATCTGAACGATTTCGTCGTGTATTCGTCTAATTGCCGGCAGTAAGCTTATTGCCTAGGATTTAAGCTTAATGCCGGATTCTTCTAGTTGCCTACGACATCTACACGTCATCCACAGTCAAGGGGTTAAAGAACATTTGCTTAAAAGTGGAATAAACTGTCTTAGATCTTGGCAACATTAAAGTTCGTTTCTGTTATTTTGGTATCATATATCAAATTTGTTTAAAATTATTTATTTTTTAACAAAGTAATAAATTAGCCGAATTTTCAAATTTTTCGAAAAGTTATTTTCGTGAATCATTTGGTAATTTTACAAAAAATCACTTTTGTAAATTGTCTGTTTTACGCAATGTGAATTTTTTTAATAAAGCTTGAAAATAATAATTTTGTTGATATTTGAGCGTAATTTTTTTTAATTTAACATAAATACAATTTGATAATATAAAGGCAGATCTACGGAATCGTTCGATTTCACGTTACTTCTTATTTATACTGCTTTAACAATACACTGAGAGAAATGGATAGTCAGATTTTGATGTTAAAAAGATGATGTTACACGATACTATCATTATGCTACTGCCAACCATCACAGATGCTAAAAAAAATATAGTTATGCTACCCCGTACACGGAAAAAAAAAGTTCGAGGATTATTCGGGAACTTCGTTCTTAACTCTTGGATACGGCGGGTAGTACACAGATAACTAAAGGTTGCCTCGTTTAAATATGTCATTTACTATTTTTCTACAAATTATAACTATTTCACCACTTCTCGGCAAACTGTTCTTGAAAAAGTCGGGAACTGTTCAAGAAAATCGAAAAGTTAGGCGAATGCAAGAAAAAATGGATTCTGCTTTCCCCCTCCCACTTCCCCTCCTTGACACGTCCGCACACACACACATTTATCCTTGAAGGTCACATACAATTTTTATTTTTTATTAAGTTTCTGAAATAGAAAAAACCATATTAGAGAAAAATCGACGGCGGCTGGAACAGAACTCGCGTACCCGAGAATAGAAGTCCGGCGTCTTATCCAGCTGAGCTAAACAGGCGAGTTAAATACCTCAGCATAAAATAAATATATAAGGCACGCAAGTCTTACTGACGGTGAAACTTGTTGAGACTGGTGCGCACAGTTTCTGCGCACCAAGATTCCTTGACGAGTTCCCGAAAATTTCAGAAACAGTTGCGGTCAGTGCCATGAACTTTACATGAGAAAGTAATGAAAAAGAGACTAATGGACTATTTATAGCTTTTTCTAATACAGTTCCCGAATTTCTTTCAAACATTCATTGATTACCATTGAATGTTCGTCGCTAGTTCAGAGCTGTTACCACGTATCCAAGAGTTAGGAAATAATTCCTGAAACATCTGGGAACTTTTTTTTTCCGTGTACTACCAAGATGTTACTCCTGATGATATTGATGGTAACGGTGACTATCTAGATAGTTGTCTGTATACGTAGCATTATACATTAACCACAATTATGTTACCCACACGGAGAGAAAAATCAATCGTTTATAGCATGAATGCTTTGTATTTTAAAAGTATGAAATGTTAGTATACTATGACTGCAAGAAAGTATACTGCGATTGCAAGAATCCTATGCTTTTTCGGTATTAGACCCTTGCAACTGGCTATTAGGCCACGCCCAGAGCCTGGGCCGACCAATCACATTGCAGAAAACTTTTACCGAAATCGCATAGGTTTCTTGCAATCGTAGTATGAAGAACTTCATGCTAAAAAGCCCAGATATTTCTCTCCGTGCACTACTATAAATTTCTCTCCGTGTACTATTTAATTTTTGTCTTGTTCTGAATATCATTTTGATCACTTTTTAAACAAAAAAAGTTTATAAAATTATAATTTTTATACTCTTTTTGTAAAATAAGAAATCATTCATGAACGTAAGAAGTCAAATTTCATTTTGTAATTTTAGCAATAATGCAATTCTAGTTTTTTTTGCATAAGCACATTATTTATTAAAAACGAATAGGGTAAATGTGGGTATTACCGTGGTTTGAAATCTAATGCAGACTTAGTCAATAGATTGTGAACAAACCTCACAAGATATTTGTATAATTTTTTTTTAAATTGATCTTTGACTTTATTTGATATAACAAAAAAATTTAGAATGTCGTAAAGCGTATATTTTATTAAATAATAAATATTTTTGAAAGTAATGCAAGTGCAGGTATTACCGTGGTGCTCAAAGCTTCATGATCGGAATACCGTGTGCCAAATACCGTGGATGATCTAGTTAAAGTGTGCCTTATTCCGCGAAAATTTAACTTGTAGAATTCGCAAACGGTTGAATGAAATTAAGCAAATTTGAAACAATGGTTTATTAATTTAACAATAAATATTCTTATATTTTAGCAGATACTAAGAATAATCACAGAATTCGTTATAAATCTATTTATAACTTTATTTAGTAATTTATTTACTAACTAATAACATTTAATTAAATATTTTTTATGAAAATAGTAATTATTATTAAAATAACAATAGTATTTGGTCTAAACCATTTTGAAATTATTTTTTAATTCCTGCGGTTCTCCTTTAACTTGAAAAGCATTATTTGTCACTTTATTTATTATTTGTAGGGTAATGTCACCTTGAGTGGACCGCCTAAGCTTTTTTTCTAAAAAATTCTTTATGACAGCAAATTAATTGGAGGTTTCTATTCCAAGCTTTAGTTTAGATCCCTAGATAAGTGTTTATACCATAATAGCATTGATTTTTTTTTATTTGGGAAAAACAATTGACTTTAAAAAAATAGCTCATTTTTAAGGAATGAAAAAAGTGTAACCTTGTGTGGACCACTCTTAAAAAATTGTAAAAGTTATTCTAAATTCTTTAATGTATTTAATATTTCTGATATGTTGAAACAAAATTTATGCTTATGCAGCTTCAGACCATGTTTGTGTCGCAATGTTTACAAGTGAAACCATTTTCAATAATTTTGGCACATATCACATCAAAATCACAAAAAAATTAATAAAGAACATAAAACAGTTTCAAACTAATTTATTGTCAATTTATTTCCATAAAAATGGTGAACTGACATTAAAAATATAAAAAACAGGTAGTCCAGTCATGGTTATAAACAGTGGTCCACTCATGGTGACATGCAACTTTTTATGGCAGACACAAACATTTTTTTTTGAGTCAAAATTATCACTTAATTAAACTAAGACAATCAATTTCAATGTCCAAAGTAGTAGGAAAAAAATAAGTCACCTTTTAAAACTTAAATTTTACACTACTTTTACTTTACTACTAGGCCAGTCGGTGAGTACAAAAAGTGCACATAAGTGCAACCTAAAAAGTCGAAGCAGTTTCTTGTAGTTTGAGGGCCCCAAA